GCCTACTGGCTCTAAAATTCTAAAAAATACATTAAAGTTAAAATAAATTAACACTTGACATCTTAGCAATACATAAGGCAGTCCTCAAATTTAAATATATCATACTTCCAAAAAAAAAAAAAAAAAACGTTGGGCTGGTGGGCTAGCTCAATGGACTAAGCGCCTATCTAGGAAAGCGCAGGGATTGGGGTTTGATCCCCAGCACCACATGCCTTGCCAGTCGCACCCCTGGGCACACAGAGCTGGCCACCAAGACCGGGCATAGTGGCGCATGCCTATAATCCCAGCACAGAGACAGAGACAGAGACAGACAGAGACAGAGACAGAGACAGAGACAAGAGACAGAGACAGAGACAGAGACAGAGACAGAGACAGAGACAGAGACAGAGACAGACAGAAAGAAAGGAAGAAAGAAAAGAAAGAAAGAAAAGAGTCAAGAGAATTTGTGGCCTAGGCATTTCACCAGCCTGGGGCAAGTCACAAAGCTATCCAATCCCAACTATTTCACAGTACAGGGATAATACCACCCACTTGGTAGGTTACTGAGAGGATTAAATGAAACATTTAAGAGGTGCCAAGGCACATGGCTGTTGTTCAGTAATTATTTTCCTTTTTCCCATGGAAACAACATTAAACATGATTTACATGCTGGTTAAGCAGTTTTCAGATCAACTAAACAGAATACTATTTGACTCTCACATACTTAGCTCCAAAGCCAAGAGGACTCAGTCAGCATTTAGGGGCTTTTTACAGTCCCAGGCGCACTGTGCTAACTGGGAGAGAGACAGGCTTGCTTCCCACCCTATGAAGAGCAGCGTTAGTGAAAGAAACTATCAAGGCGCAAAGGTAGGAGATGGGAGGCTCTGGCTATTTAAAAGTGGCACTCTCAAGCATGGGTCAGGAAACGGACACAGAAGCAGCTTTCTTCCCGCCACATGCACCAATCGTACTTTTGGTTACTGCTTTAAATAGTGTGGGGCAGATGTTCTGGAGGGGGGATTTGTGTGGGATTTGAAAGCAGGGGGCTCTGTACCAGGAAAGAAAATGGAAACCCACAAGCAAGACCAATTTCAGGAAAATCACGAATGCCACATCTGCAGGGCAGCTGAGAGGAGAGCAAGCACTCAGAGCCACACTCCCTCCCCTTCCTTGGGTCACCCCCAGAACTGCCGTGGCAGCCTAGATTGGCAAAGGAAGCAGGGGGTGAAATTCAAAAACCATAAGGAGAGAAGCAAAGAGAAGGGAGAGAAGGGCAACAAAATCCCGGCTCAGCAATGAGCAGGGGAAGGAAGTTCCTGAGGGCAGACTATAAGTGAAGCCATATTAAGTGATTCCCTTCATTATGCTTCTTCTTGTCTATGACACAAACCATCTTATTCCCAGGATGCTGTGAAAGGCTCCTAATTCTGTGCAGCTTCAGACTTCACTTACTTAAAATAATTCTGTGAAGCACTGCAAGGCTTACATTCCTAAAACATATTCTAATCTTGAAATTCCAATACTAAAGAACCAATTAGGACTTCAAATTGCCTCCCAAGTCAAGTTTATACTTCAGCCTCATAATTAAGGCCAGGAGTGCAGTTCTGGCGGACATCAGTTGCCAAGGATATGTAAAGGCTATGGAAGGTACAAAGAGTATCAGTGAAGGGAAACATGGCACTACATGAAACAGGAAAGACTTTAGCAAATGAAACTTTCCAAGGCGTATTGTTTAAGTTCAACTAGTGATGTCATATCTTGATTCATGAAAGAAGTGGCCCTCCTGGGCGCTGAAGGAACCTTAGGACTTCAAATGGCAGCTATGCAAGAAGTACCGTCAAATGAAGGAATAAGAACAAATATACATGATGTGCCCAAGGAAAAAGCCAGCTTGTGTAGCTGAATCACTTCTCTCTCTCTCTCCTGTGACATACCACGGTGTGGGCAATCTTGAGCCAAACTGCCTGAGTTCTAATCCCACCACTGCCACTTGGTGCTCTGCATGCTTGAGCAAGGAACGTGGCCATTCCACACCCAAATGTTCACCTTTGCAAAACAGGAATAACAATGATGGTGCTGACAACACAGGGGTGCTAGGAGGATAAATTCAGATAACTTCCTGAGAAGGCTGGCTGGCAATGGTAGGCACTTCAACACTATTACGGGGTTGTTGCAGGCCAGCCATGAGGCGCATCAGTGCCCTTCCATTGATCACAGGGCGCCACCAGAGCCTCTGGAGCAAAGAAATGACTGGGCCTAACCAGACATCAGGCTACACTAAACAGATGTCAGTCTTGTGTAGCACGTGCAAACATCTGTGACTATTTGCAAAGTGTTCGTCTTGATAGGGAAAGAACCTGAGTTAGAGTAGTGACAGTGGGATGGTAGGAATAACATCGAGACATTCTAGAGGGAAAAAATGCAAGGACATTACCATCAAAAGTACACAACAGTATATGTGCTGCCGAAGCAAGCACAAAAGTACACAACAGTAAAGAGGAGGACATTTTTTTGGGTTTTTTCCCTACTTCAGGCTGCCTTAAGGGCAGGTCTGGTATAGCTTCTGGAGCTGGGAAATAACCAAGGTCCTATGTGCAGGCCAGTCCTACTTACTCAAGTGGTGTTTTAAACAACTGAACTAGCCAGCAAAGCCCCAAAAGTTGAGAAGGACTTTTTTTTTGGGGGGGGGGCTGGCTCAGACTGCCTTAAGGGTGGGTCTGGTAAGACATGAGGAGCTGAGGACAGAACCTAGGTATCCTGCGTCTGACTGCATTTGCATAAGCTTAAACAACTGAGCTAACTGGCAGGCCCCAAATATTTCTTTATTTTTTCTCTTATTTTGTATTTTTTAGGGAAGAGTCTACAGGGTATTCAGAGTCTCACTACTAGATTGGACTCATAGTGATCCACCTGTTTACAGCCTCCCAAGAGCTGGGATTATAGGCGTGCACCACCATGCTCAGTCTCAATCACTGTCTCAGCGCGCTCCAGGGGCAGGGCCAGGATGGCAGGCCCCAGGATCAAACCCCAGTCCATGCACCTGCTTGAAGGCGCTTTAATCAGCTGAGCTATTTGGCCAGCCCCACATGACAGTAAAGAAAAAGACCAGAAAAATACTATGTTAAAAAAAAAAAAAGAAAAAGAAAAATACTATGTTACAAAGCTATCAAGACATCTAAATATTCTACCGTATTTTTGATTCTCCTGTTCTCTGAACACCAAGAGCAGTGATGGCAACTGTTTTAGAGCTTTCAATGATAACAAATAGCCCACTGAATACACATGCCATAGGTTCACCACAGCTGACTTAAAATTTGAAGGAGAGTTTGGCTAAATTGGATAAATGCTACCCAGTGTTCCTTACCTATTGCTCATCTGTTGTTTTATGCATTCATATCCCCAAATCACTCTCTATCACTCTCTCTCTGTCTCTCTCCCCCCCCCCTTCCCCCTGCTTCCTCTTTCTCTCTCATCAGTAAGCTGCACAGGGAATATCCTACTAGCACAGAAACGGACAGTGCAAGCCTCAGAGATAGGTCAGAGATAGGTACACAGTGTTCAAGAATTCCAATAGCTCCAATAGTCAAATGAAGCCTAGTTTTCACTGGGTGCAATACCATTTCAAGTCTGGTCACAAACAGGCAAGAATCCATTCATGATAAAAATATGACAGGATGTTAATTTGGGCTCCTCGGATCTGCAACAGGCTGAGACACACGAGCACTCTGCATGCCTTGTTTTTTCCTTGACCCATGGCTGTAACTGAGAAGCTGCCTCCCCAAGAGTAACCCCATCCCTGGCAAGCAATGCATTTACAGACTGTTTTGTTGAATTTATTATTTGAAATGGTAAAGGTAAGTACAAAAGCCCACAGAATAAGGACACATTGCCTCTGTTTTTACTATTCATCTACTATTAATTTATACTCTGCGGTACAGGCTTTTGTTCTCATCTACTGAACCTTGTAATACTAATTATAACTTTCCAATTCTTTAAAAATGTAACAAAATACCAACCAATGATTTCGGCAAGCTGAAGAAATTGTTTCTACATATATGTTTGTAGATGTGCATAGGACTAACTCAAAAAAATCCAGATGCTAGAAACAACTACCTGTAAGTGGACTCAACAGAGATTGTTACTCATACTTTCCTGCACTCGCCAGTTTCCTCACACACTGGTAGTACCTCACAATCACAGGAAAGTTAAACAAAAAGTTTACTCTAAAATTTTACACTTTTACACAAAATTATTTCATTCAAACAACTGTTCCCAAGTTAAATACAGTACATGACTTTTGCCTTGGAAAACAAACACTCTAAATAAATTCTAGACCAACTCCAAAAGCCACAATCTCTTTCACACAAAAGGGGTTCATACAATTACTGAATTGCTTAATAGAGGTTTTTCTTAAAGAAAAAAAAAGTTTCCAATAAAAAAAAAACTTTCTATATGTTTTACTTACAGGTTAAAAGAATATTTATTACCTAACCATTCTACTAAAAGTCATCTGTTAGGATTCTAAATTAGGACAAATTATGAAAGTCTTGTTCATCATCACATGGTATATTCTTGAGGACTCTAAATGAGAAGGATTCAGAACTGGCATACTGTAATTAAGCCTACATAGTGTCATTAAGGGATAGGGTACACATTAAAAGTCTAATCATTGTAAACTATAAACTAGAATCCAACATCACTGAAGGTTAAGATGATAGAGAATGAAGTGCTGTCCCTAGCGATTAGCACTTATCATGTGCATCAGTGTTTCACTGTGGCTACTTCCCAGGAAGAGACTATGATTACCCACATACTAGATCTGCATTAAAATTTTCCAGTGACTTCTACATCTGAAACTACAGAAATACAATGTTTACCAGACCAGCCCTGAGAAAAGTGGTCCCTCAAGGCTCCATAGAGATTGGAATTATCCAGATCTACACACTCAGAGTTGGAAGACTCCTATTTCCTTCAAGACCTATTAAAAAAACTGCTTAGGTATGTTAACTGCAGTATCTCACCTGGGACTCTGAGGTCTCTCTGTGTGATGAGCGTTTGCCTTCTTCAAATTCAGACATTAAATTTGGCCCGGATGTCAAAGAGAGCGTGTCTTTAGAAGGGGCAGCCAGGTCTTGGGAAAGAGATGAGAGGGTGGATGTAGAAGCGGGCAACCTCACCACACCTTCTCCTGTAACTGCCTCCCTCTCACTGGGCAAGCTTGAACCAAGCTGGCTGGTGTCAGCCTTTAGGGCAGGGAGGCTGACTGAGCTGTTTTCAGCTGTCTTCACACCTTCGCCATCTCCATTATACCTCCAACCAGCATCCATCTAAATAAGAAACATCGTTTTAAATGTGATAGTCTGTTAATTTTGTTTATTAAAATGTACTCATATTTTGTTTATGTACTTGTTTATATTGAAACACCCTCCCCGCAAAAATGTGAAGCTAGGGTGTAATATGGGGCCAGAGGAGGGGTGTTTGAGGATGAAATGATCAAAGTCTGCAATGTCTATGTATGAATCAGCCCAAATCAAATCCATTCATCTGTATAACCAATGAAAAGTAAAAATTAACCTATGCAAATAATATATATCTCCTCGAGTAAAGAAACTGTCGCTAAAAGCTTAGAGTATCCATAAATACACACCAACCTAGTGGGAAGAATAGATGTTCTAACAAAAGTTTTACTAGATTAAAACTTTTGAAACTTGCTTTTCCTGTTTATATCACTCTGGGTGAATCAATAAATAGAATGCTAAATTAGTCGTCTGACTTACTGATTATTCCATAGTGTGCATATCAATACATTATTTAGAATTGTTTAAGTTTTTTGGTCACCTCCAAATATATTACAATAGATTCCAAGTATATCTTTCTAATTGGAACTCTCATTTTTTAGCCCCGTCCCAAAGATTTGCTGGGGGAAAAGTTTAATTTTATATTTTTTTTTTCTTTAAACTCACTGTAGCTCTGCATTCCTAAAGAAACAGACGTGAGCTGCTGCTTCTCTGCATCCTCGCCAGCACTGGACATCTTCAGCATTTTAAATCTTTGTCAATCTGATGGATGAAATCTGTATGCCTCATTCTTGCTCCAAGGAAGCTCAGTATGTCTCTATGTGCTTCACATTATCAGCCATTTACATTCCTTTTCCCTCAAATTGAGCATTCATTTTCTCTATTCATTTTTCTAGTGTCATATTTAGGCATTAGCCCTTTATCTACAATACATTTTGCTAAAACTTGCCTTGAGTCTATCAATTATCATGACTCTAAGTTTAAATTTATGTTGTCAAATGTGCCTGTAATTACCCATACAACAGTCTCAGGGGGCTCCTGGCTTCTTTAGAAAAGAGCCCTCATCTCAAATATTCTAATTTTCAATTCATATTTTTTCCTCTTCTAGATTTTAACAACTATACTTCAGCAGAACTATAGGAATTTGAACATTAATCTTAAAACTATTTTGCTTCTTTTGCATCATTCAGATTAAATTATATGTATGGTATTGCTTCATAATCAGGAAAAATGCTGCAATATTCTACATCCTTAGAAATCCCAATTAAATATATATGTATTTTAATAAGACAGTTTAATAATTATATTCAGACATCAAATTCTGAAGTAGGAATTTAAAGAAGAAATTTACATATAAACCCTTAAATATATTTAGGTTAAGCCATAAGAAACTGCTGTTTTGTAGATCAAAAAGAGCTGACTACTGGCAATTTCATATTATTCAAGCTAATACTCTGCAAAAATTATACTAAAAAATGGTCTGCCTCAGAGCACTTATTCATTCTTTAAAATATATCAGCCCTACCTTCACTGAATTTAATCACTTGTGTATCATTACTATTACTACGCACTACATTCCTATTGGCTCTAAGCTAATGATACACAAGGACTTTGTATCTGTTATACACACTCAAGTACACACCAACTCCCAACCTCTTGCTCTTTGGAACAGGCTATGTGAGTGGGGAGCACTTTTACCGTATAACTTCTGGGGAGTGGTGAGATCCCCCTTGACTGCGTGCCAAAAGGTCTCGGTGTGACCACAGATGTTAACCTGGCTGTATCAGTTTTCTGGTAACTTCTGGGGAGAGAAGCTGAAATTCGAGTCAGCTCCATTTGTGTACTCAGTGAATGCTGAGAAGACAAAGAGGCTGGGTGCTGTTCTTCTGCAAGGCTTTTAGAAGGAAGTTGAATTTCAGCAGTGCCGCCATTGTCCTGTCTTTTTCTAAAAGTTGTCGGCTCTTCCTTAGGAATTTCAGGGGGGTAAGTTGTTTCCTTCTCTCCGGCTCTCTCACTCTGGTAGCTGGCTTCTGACAGAGTCAGGGCAGCAGGTAGCTCTTCATCATGCAATACGTCATCAGAAGAGTACATTCTCCTCCTCCACGTCATGGGAGGCTTCTGATCAAGGGATTCCCTTAGAAGAAAGAAGCACACCATTCCCACAAGTTATGCTTTTGCCACCCAGAGTAGAAAGCAGTAATTAATACTTGAATGTTGAGGAAGAATACCAACTTAACATAATAATAATGACACTAAAAGAATATGACCATATACATTTTCAAGGCCAGAAGGAAGAAAGCTTGTAAAAAACAGATTTTTTGTTTTCATTAAAGACATTATCAAGCATTTTGTTGGATAATTGTTAATTTATAGAAAAATCATACTAATAAAATAAGGAAATTTTAATGAGATTATTTACAAAGATTTTATCCACAAGTTTACAAGTCTTATGAAATAAAAATGCCATCTATAAATGACTAACAACCAGTCTGAATCCTCCGAAGATATGCATTCCTGTGACAGCATTATGAGCTTTTCCCTATATAAAGCTTACAATATACTAGTTCAAATCCATGAGCATAAAAGGCTTAGGCTTTTATGAAGATCCAGACAACATATGGCTTCGTGCAGCTTGACAGAACTCCCTGGACAATTACTACAGATTAAAAACTCACATTTATAGTTATCAAGCTGACAAAATACCCTAATCTAACATTTAATGAGAGTAAGAAGTACTCACTTCTCAGGCTGTGTTGCAGTTAAGTGAATGAAACTCTGTTTATCTTTGGCTCTTCAAATACAAAGGAGCTTTGTTTAATTTTATGTGACAGTACATTTCCTTTTTGACATTGGCCCTAAAGCATATTTACCTTCTCCCTGACCTATAAATAGCCTAAAATTTCACATAGTAACTGCTGTTAAATTGACCTTTATCCTTCTATATTGCAATTCAAAGAATAATCACAGACACTTATGCTTATACAGTATGGGCTTCCTTTAAAAGACAATTTGTGTTCCACAACTAACTTATTTTTACAAATTGCTATATTTCACACTAGTTAAAAGTGAGAGCTGTCTATTCCCTTATTCCATTCCTAAGTTCACTTTAAAAAGAGAAAAAGTAGTATCTTTTCTATACCAAATCCAGCCAAACCTTCCACTTTCATGTATAAATGTGCAGGGGAAACAAAGACATACTTCTTATTTGTGCTAAACACTCATTGATCCAAATCACTATTTCAACACTACTTTTTTTTTCATGCAGAGCAAAATTCTGAATGTCTCTGCATATCTGATTAAAGTTTCAACTTGGGGATTCCACATCATGCCACACTAACACCAAACCTCCATTTCTGCCTCAGCTCCCCACCCATGAGATGCACTCAGCCTCATTACCTGTCCTGCAGCATTTCCTTAAACGTCTTGGAGCTTCTCTCAGACTTCTCGAGTGCCTGCTTTTCAATTTCTTCCCTCTCTTCTTTCTTCTTCTGCAGGTCTGAAGTGTAACTTCTCCGACGATCTTTCCATTTTGCAAGGTCCTGAGAGAAAATCACATCAGGGCGCCATACCTGAATTCCTACACACCCTTTCTGCAGCAAGAGTGTACTGGAGTATCCTGTTACATCACTGAAACCATTCGCTCCCACTTTGTGCCAGGCTGCCCTAATTTTGCTTTTTATAGCCAGCATTTCTGTACCAAGCCTTTATCTCATGTGTCTGTCTCAAAACCCTGACCTAATAAGATAGATACCAGTTTTGTTTTCTCAGAAAGTGTTGCCTTGTTGCCTGTTTCACAAAGAATTAAATGCTTGTAATTAGGCACCAGGTTAGACTGATTGGGAATTGTTTCAATTTCAGTTTCATCTCTCTCCAAAAATCTGGCTGTTACATGCAAGAACATGCTTACTAGTAAGAAGAAAACAGAGATGTTAGAACAACAGTCAGATGCATATTCGGTGGCATTCAACAAGCTGAAGCTCAATCACTATAAACGCACAGATGAGTAAGATTAAGACAGGGTTCCCTCAAGGAACTCTTCGTTTGCAAGGGAGAGACAGACATGTGACTAAAATTCAGTAATGAACAAGACAGGCTTACTTGGGATAGCAAGCGTCCTCAAGAGAAACAAACTCCCACTGAAGAGCTAAGACTTGAATATGTGATATCAAAGAAGGAAAACTAGGCTTAAGCTACAGCAATATGGAAAATCATGCAGAACAAGCCAGTGCCAGTTTCCCATAACCCCTGAAGCTTTAAATGTGACTTGGCCAGGTAACCCCAGACTATCAGCCTGTTTCAGACATTCAATGAGACACAGCAATCTTGGTGCATTCTGACACCCAAGGGGTTAAGACATTTCGAAAAGTACACTTTTCTATGTTTCCAAAACAGAAGCGCTATGCTAAGAAGACCAAGAGGCATTTCAGTCCAAAGAGGAGTACATCTGAGGTCTCCGACTAAAGGGAGCCTCACCTTCACAGCGTGCAAAGCAAGTTTGGGAGCAGACAGGGCCACCGCTGCTTTCAAACAGCCTGAAATCAATATGAACTATTTCCAGAAAGAACAAAAGCGGTGTGAGATTTAGTTCTTGAAGATGTGTGGTGTGAATTTTCACCTAACTTAACCTAATAGATTAACCTCGTCAATATTTGTATTATTTTCATACCCAAAAAATTGCAATGAATTTTGACAAAGTGACACTGAATTACTTACTGATTCTTGACAATTAAATTGAGTTCCCATAAATTACTTATGTCAAAAAAATAAATAAATAAATAAATAAATAAAAATAAAATAAATAAATAAATTGAGTTTCCAATGAAAGGAGCATCAAAATTCAGAAATATATCCAACCCAGAGGTTTCAACTTTACTGCATATAGACTTAACTTCTTGGAAAATTAAGATTTACTGTCTATGGACCTTTTATTCATGCTGTAACTCAACTCTCTTACCACAAAGCTGTACTCAAATTCTGGAGGGTTGCTATGTCCTGTTTATGACAATTCTTTAGAGTATTACAAGTTTATAACTATTATGTTTAAAAGGTTAAGTTTTCTTCCTTAGGATCAAAACTAATGATGAGGGGCCGGGGACATGGCTCAGCAGAATAAGCACTTCCCTGGCAAGTGCAAGGGCCTGAGTTCAATCCCAGGTTCCACCCAAAAAAGGGGGAAAAAAGGGGGGGGGACTAACGATGAGGTCTATACCCATAGAAGTATCTGAATGTGTGTGAGCTCTGTAGAAACATCTAATTTCAACTCATTCAATAATACTTCATGGGCCCAGGAGATGATAGCTCAGGGGCATAAGTGCCTGCCTCTCAAGCACAAGGTCCTGAGTTCGATCCCCAGTACAATGATAATAATAATAATACAAAATACTCTGGATTTTATTTCTTCACAATCTCCTCAGTTAACTAAGAACCCTTTTCATCTCAACCTGCTAATGTCAAGTTCGACACTAGACCTCCACTCATCTACAGTCCTACATTTAAACAAGGACTTTTCCTATCAAAAGCATAATTAATGGTAATACCCCAACTCAACCACCAAAGCAAGTAAGCAATGAAGAACTACTATTCTGCAATGAAGCTCACATTTCTCTGAAAGCTCAGCGAATATTAGAAGATAAACTTTCATTCAGATTTTTCACAACAGTATTTAAAAAGTGCACTCGTACTAGCCCAAAGAGTTAAAACTGATCGCACTTTCTACAGAACTATCTCTGGAGTATGGAGACCTGAAAAGAAACAAGGAAAAATCTGACTAATACACTTTCTCCTCATACAATTGGAAAATACTCACATCTTGCCATTTCTGATCTTGTTCTTTTAATTCACTTTTTATTTTCTGCATCTCCTCATAACGCAGCTGACGCAAGTGCCGAACATCCTCTGGGCTGACATCACTCATGGACTTGCTCCTAGGGCAAGAAAACCATGGTCACCAGGGTTCGCATGACCAGCTAAAGAGTGAAAGGAAGGCTGGGCTTATATTTGGAAATTCCACCTAAATTTCTGATGTGCTGCCTAGACACTCTAGTGATAGTATCACAGAAAGAGCACTACAGAGATAAATGGTGTTTTTCCAAAACGCAGAAACAAGAGCCTACTACTCATGTCGGGTGTAAATTTTTTCACAAAATGGCCAGACTAATTCTATGAAAGTATAAAAAAAATAATTCAATGTTCAGTTTCAGAGAAGTCAGTGCAAAAAAAATGTTTCTTTAGATCTTTAGACAAAGAAATTATTAGGCACCACTAGAAATACCCGTCTGTATTGTGCCGTCTCCCCCAAAGGTAAGCTATTAAGGCTTGGCTGCCCTTTCTGGGCACTTACTAAATAATTTAGTGATTACCTGATATTTTCTCCTCAAGTTCAATACCATGAATAGATGTGCTGCTCTTTTTCAAAGATTCTATAAGATCTACCCCTGCCACTGCACTGGACTTGTTCTCAGAGGACATAGGTGGTTTCCACCAGCCTGTTCGAACCACCTCGTTTGCCCTCTCCTTACAGCTCCCTCAGGACCTGAGGTTCAACAGCCCCCTCTCCCCCAGTACTGGGAACTGGAGCAAAGGCCTTTACACTGAGCCACATCTTGAGCCTTTTCAGTTCTAATTTTGAGACAAGATCTTACAAAGTCACAAAACTGCCTGGGTTGTGCTGGAATTTTAAATCCTCTTGCCAAAACCTCCCAGAATTCTGGGATTACCGGATTGTACCAGAGAAGAAACAATGAGCAGTGGGCTGAAGGACACAGGCAGTGACTGCTATCTGTATACACGTAAGAGATGGGTAAACAATGGCTGAGGAGAAAAGGAGATTTAGGATGCCCTTCCCCACCTTCTGAAAGGAAGCTTTCAAGTCTGACTATTGAAGATCAGGTAGGAACAAGAGAAAGAAAGTGTTTAAAAATGAAGTGCTCCAAATGCTCTCTTTCATAGCTCCATCCTTATGTATGGAGTTCATCATAAGTGACTGTATTCTTAGTTATTTAAGTAACTTATCTTTCTTCCACACAATTCTACCATCATATTTCCTTCATAAAATACCCATCTTGGTTAGCTTAGGAATCCAATTACAACTTCCCGGAGAAGGATTCCCAAGCCTACAGCTTCAGATCTGCCCTCCATCCACTCATTTCCTGCTCAGTGAATAAACATTTCTCCTGGCTATCCCCTAGTCACCTTGACTGCAAAAGGATCGGTTGAAGTAATATCTAGAAAGGATTTTGTAGCACCAGGTATGGCTGATGCAGCTGAACTTAAGTCTTGTTTCGTTCCCAATCTACTTTTTTTCTTGTGTTTAATTGCTCTGCCCCCAATCATTCATATTTGAATCCTAAAACATATTTTTCACTTGTTTCTCCCTTTTCTTCACTTTCAATTAGTTATCCAGTCCTCTCATTCAGTGTCTTTTTCTTTCCATCTCTATCGCCAGCACCCTAGATCAGAGCACAGAAAGACCTACTGAGACTTCCAAATAAGCTGCTTCACATATCACCCAGAGAAGGTCTAGCCCGAAATACTCCCTCTAACTCAATCTACCTTCCCCAGTACACTGAGTACAAGGCCTTTGAATGGAGCTACAGCACCAGCACTTTAGAAATATATATATGTTTTTTGAAGCAGGATCTAAGTTGTTCAGATTGGATAGCCCAAGCTTGTACTGCTTGTGTTGCAGCCTCCCAGTGTGCTGGGCATGCAGGCATGCGCCACCATGCCCAGTATTTCTCAGCATCCCAGCTAGACTAAACTCAGATGGCCACATACAGTAACTTTGTACTATTCAGTGTCAACTTGGAGGCCTATAAGGGATCTCAATCAGAGCAGTCAGACACAAAATATTTTTCACCCTACAACTTGTTCATCTATCTCCTCCATCTCAGTAAAACTCAGTCTATCTTTTCACACTTTAGGTCAGAATTTTTGGAGTCACCCGATTCCTCTCTGTCTCTCATCTACACTCTTCCGCTCTACAGGTAAAGTACAACCATGTTTGACCTCTTCCACTGTTAGTTACCATCTGCTCCCAGTCATCACATCCCCCCTGGAGGATGAGCCCCCTGCTTCCATCCTTAGCACTGCACTCAAAGAGACCTTTCCAAGCCATGCCCAGATATCAGCACCCATCACCTTCTTCCATCTCACTCAGGTTCAAAGCAGGTTCTTCCAAGTCCTGCATGGCCTAGTATTACCTGGTCCCTGCCTGTCTCTCTACACTCATCTCCACCACACTGTTCCTCACTCACTCTCCAGCTGCCACCTGACTTCCATGGTACTGCTCGGACCTCTCACTCCCCCACCTGCCCAGCATGCTCCCCACCAAATACCCACCTGGCTTCCCTCTCACTTTGTCTTCTGCCTAAGTGTTACTCAGCATTTCCTTCCCTAAGCCCCCGAGACACAGCCAGTGCCTTTACCCCAGCTCACTCTCCTCCTACTCTTTCCTCCACAGCACTTACGGTCATCTGAGATGTCCTGTACCTACTACATATCATCTGCTTCACTCTGTGAAAGACTATAAAGCAAGACTGTGTCTGATTTGTTTCCTGGCCCCAAACAAAGGCCAGCTCAAAGTTAGTGCTTCTTATGAATTAATGTTCTATCTAGATAATATTCTACCACTTGGATAAAGTCTTCCTTGTTCTTCCCTATTGAAAGTGGCCTGTCCCCTTTCTCAACTGCTCTATTGCTTCAGCTATATTTCTTTGCTGTTACTTAACACCAGGCTTCATGTTCTGTGGGGCGTGCACATGCGTGCTTAGTTTATCCCCCTCACAAGCCATGTATTCCTTGGAGGAAAAACACACAAACGCAGCACACAGCATGCAGAATACTCATTTAATATCTGTGCCAAGAATGAAGTTAACTTGCAGCATTATTTAATCAAACAAAATACACTAAATTTGAAGTGTTTCTAATTCTTTCTATGAGGGAGCATTAATGCTCCCACAAGTTTTATAAAATTATGAACATCCAGGATAAGGAATAAGCATAGAATATGAGTATACGTATGAAAATATGAGTCTACTAATATGATATGTGTTGAGTATATATGTATAAATTCTTTGTGCAATTTTGAGAATATAAATGCCCTGGGGTCATAACTACAAAGAATGCAGGTATTTGAGTTAATGCAACAACAGACTCACTAAAAAGAGAGAAAAAATGTTCAAGACCAAGGTGTGAGGGGAATCTGGACAGCCAGCATAGAACCAGTGGCAATACTAATTCACACTTTAATAAAGGTGTTCAGTGGAAGGCTGGGCCGTAGCAGCCAACCCAGAACCTCTCTTACTGCTCTTCCATTCCTGTGCAGTGAGGCATCAGCGCACATCTTCGCATAGCATGCTTCTCAGGTACATCTGTCTGGTGTACAATACTTATTAAAGCAAAAATGACTGTGTGGATTCTCCTGAGAGCTAACTTCTCAACCTGCTTCAAATTCAAGACAGAGCTGCACTCGCCGGAGCACGCCTCTCATCTCAACACTCTGGAAGGCAGAAACAGAGAGCTCATAAAGTTAAGCTCAGCCTAGGCAACTTAGCAAGAAAATGCCTAAAACTTTTCTAAAAATGGAAAGGGCCAAGTGAGATAGCTCAGTGCCAATATCCTGGATTCAATCCTCAGTAATGAGGAAAAAAAATGCGTCACCCCAGACTACTGTTAGAAAATCTAGAATTTCTAGAGTCTTGAGGTCAGATGACAAAAAGTAATTTCCTCCTTCATCAGCATGAAGGCCATAGTATTAAATCTAGGAGGGCTCACGCGCACCACCAGCACTGCCGAAGTGTCTCTGCAGATTATCTCGTGAATCAAATACCTAAGCCAGTTCTACCACTCACAAGTCAACATCCTTGGGAAAGTTTCAATCTCTGTTGCTCTTTCCTCATGTCTCTGAAATGCAGATAACACCTACCTGTCTACCCAACAAATTGAAGTAAGCACCCGAGATAGCATCAGTAAAATTGTTTGGGAAAACTATGACAGACTACATACATCTGATGTGTTGTGTAAAGTAAAGTGCTACTCACTGGTAAGTCACATCATAATTCTCCTGAAATTCATCTACCTGTTAAGAGTTGCATTTCCTTATTTGGAGAGAATCCAGTTTATAACTATATTTGGATTTTTTTCCAAAATTATAGGTGTAACACTTTGCCTTTAAGTTGAACAGAATTATTTTACCACTTTTGGAAAGATAGAAAGAAGAATAAACTTAATAAAAAAAGATAGCAATCATAAATTCAGATCAGTTGCCTGTAATACTCCTGGCTTTTAGTTTTCTTCTCCCTTTCTCTACTTTTTAATATTTTTGGCTACTATTCAGTCAGATTATCTTATAATCCAATTTCAGACTTATAAATGATTATCTAAAAAAGAGAGAAAAAAACAAATAAGGCAAATTTTCCTCACTATGAAACCACCTGATAGCCTTCCACAGCAAATATAAAGTGAGGGGTCTCTAGCCTAGAGAAGCAGACATCAATGTACTTCTTAATATACCTCTATGTGATTCTCATTAGATATTCTAAAATTCTGTGAAGAGTAATCAATGCTACAACCTATTTGAGAGGCTTTATAATTACCATGAACATAAAACAGCATAATGAGGATTTTTCATTTACAGATTTATCATCTAAAAGCAAAATTTCTCAGTAGCAACACTGGTGACATTTGAGCCAGAAGTGTCTGTTTACTGTGGGACATTTAGCAGGATCCATGGGTACAAGGCACTAACTGTCAGTAGCACACATGCACCTGGTGTCCCAGGTAGCACCAAGTGTTTCCTGGCATGAAAAAAAAAAATCTACATGAGGTGAAACACATCAACTTCACTTGTTCTTTCTTTTTGCTGTATCTTGACTTGATAATGCTACAGATTCTTTTGCCAAAATCTGTAAGTGAAGCTTAAGTGGTCATGGTTATATTTGATTATAACTTCGCCTTCAATCAGTGTTTGTTTCCTGTTGACAATGTACAGACTGAATTACTTAATCACATTACAAGACTATTTCTGCATATCCTTACAACACATTTTATTTGTCATTACAGCTTATACAAGAAGACAACATGACCAATTTTCAAATTTCATAGAACCACATGGACAAAAATTCACGAAGCACAAAAGCACACTAGAGTTATAACAGCCACACACAAAGCAACTTACTACAAGTAAACAGACAGGTGTTATATGACAAAGAAGCAGCAAGCCATCAGGCTGATTATGTGGCTCAATAGTAGAACACATGCTTAGCATGCACAATGCCGTGGGTTCAGTCCCCCATGTAGACACACAGAAGTCAGGATTTAATAGGTTAAAAATTCAAAAGGTAATTACACATTTCTCTTAAAAGTGTTCCTTACCAAAAAGAAAACATTCATAGTACAGATTATTTTTCAACTACAGTATATTCAGCAATAATGCTTTTCCAAGGAAGTATACCAAACTTGACTACATACATTATGTTCAGAGAAGGATCCCCAAATATAAATATGAAATGGGTTGTGAACCCTATTTGTAATTTGATTTGAATTTGTGTTTTGTTTTCATTGCATATTGGGTTAAGGAAAGCACTGGTAACTGATAGGATGTGGGGGTGGGGGTCAATTGGTCTAAAAAACACTAGTTTTCTAAAGAAACATTACTTTCCATTATTAAATCAGTTATGCATTATTCATCAGTCTCAATTTACGGATTATCTTGCTTTATTTGTATAGTTACCTTGGCACTAAACCACATGGGGAACAACCTCTAAAACAAATGCAGTGCTATCCTATCCAAAAAACTATCTCAGAATTATCTATAGAAAGCATCTGCTGCTGCTGAAAGCTACAGTTGTGGAAAACCTTTAGCTTTTTGAGCTTTGATTAGGTCTCCCCCCTTCTCTTTTTTCCTTTCCACTCCTGACCCCCCTTCTCCTCTCTCTCCCTTCTTCTCTTTTTTTTCCTCTCTCCCCATCTCTTCTATCCTCACCGCCCCCCTCTCAGACTGAATCCAAGGACTGCACACTCATGAGCTATGCGAGATGGGATGTGGGGATAGGGATTGCTACACTGGCCAGGTTAAGCTTGAATTTGTAAGCTTCCTACCTCAGCCTCCCAGAGTTCTTGGATCACAAGTGTATATATACCTCCCCACCTGGCTGGTTCCTCTCTTCTTAGTCACCTCACATTCTCTTAACTAAGGAGGACCACACATAGTTCGTGAGATAGGTACATAAGCACATATGGCAATTAAGTACTTGTACTCTGGGCACTTGTAGCCCCCTAAGGTAAAATCACTATTCCTGAGACTTGCTTATTTTATAAAATCTTATTTAATTTACGAATGGCAACTCTTACTGAGAGTTAAAGTGCTTGAAATGGCATAAAGAAGGGGAGGGGCTGTACCAAGCCTCATGCATGTGAGGCAAGCTCTCTCTTATCACCCAGCTACATTTTGAACTCTGCAAAGACATTTTTAATGATGTTTAAACAGCTTTCCCATGATGCAACTGAATGGCAGTTGCTTCAGTGTTATGCTGCAGACTGCCTCCTTCACCTTCACAGATGAAAACATTTTACGCATATGAGCTTTTAGGCAGAAGATAATGTGCCTGAGCATAACATATGGAAAAGATGCTGTGAAACATTTCTAAAACTTTGGTTCAAAAGTACTCCCAGTAAGCTGTCCATGGTGTTACTACATTCTGACATCTAGAATGGTTCTACTACTGCACTAAATGGTAATTTCATCATCTTCCAGATTTCTGAATTACTGACAAAAACTACCACATTAGATATCCTTAGAATGAAGTACATCCTGGAAAAAATACTTAGCTACCAAGACTGAAATAGAGTAAAATTTGAAAGCCTTAAATTTTCTTCCCCTTACTCAAAAACTATTAACAAGATTCACAAAGCTTCAGAAAGTTTGGTGGAAACTATTAGGAAATAGCTTCCTGGTGATTTTGTACTAAGAACGATTTTTAATTTTTTTAATATTCTAGAAATTATTTGTATCCCCTTTTTTGTTTAGTTTTGTCAGAGATGGGTATTCCACTGCCATTTAAATATTGTAGGTGCATGAATTCATCAAAATAATTCAATATACTACAGTGGTCCATAATAGTAGTGGGTTATCCGTAGGACTGACAATGTCAGAAGTTGTTAACGAGCCCTTTACAGCTCAGCATATTAATATGGCTTTTTGTATCTGTATATACAAAATAGGATAGATATACAGCTACTTTCTCTTAATTCAGTAAGAAGAAGGATTTGTACTAATAGTGTTTGGACAGGATATCATGTCTGCATCTTGTACTATGAGTAACCACTATGAAGACAATATACAATGTATTAATTATTGTAACTGTCCTATTAATCGGTTTTGAAACTGTCTCATTGCTATTTCTCAACAAAATTAATAAAAAATATTCTAGAAATTAGAAAAACTTTCTGAAGGCTGGTTTCATCTTATCATATCTACTACAGGACAACGAAATATCAGTAGACCAAAACTAAGAATTAGTGATACAGTTCTTGCAACACTACTGTAAACTACCAAGATGTTATTTTTGCAGTTTTGGAAATCTAGTTTTGCTCTATACATACATCTATGTTATAACTTTTTATGCTAATCAGGAATCTTGAAAATATTTCCAAATTTTTTTAATATTTGCCAATTTTATTTTTGTTTACAAATTCTGCATCAAGTAACAAGCATGATTAAAGGCATCTTTACTATACAAACACAAATATGACCATCTTTTCCAAAATTGTACAGCATGTGAAGTCCATGAACTGAGGTACCAATGTACATTTTATGCAACACATCACAGCCCTTCCATTCATTGATTTTTTTCTGTATATTTTTATTCTCAATTAATTTCTGCTCTGATCTTTTTCATTTCCTTTATTAGTTTTGGGTTTGTATTATACTTACTCCTCTGTAAATTTGAGGTACACCAGTTATGATGCTATTTATGTGGGTTTCATCTATTTTTCTAATGTGGATCTTCACAGCTCTTAGTTTCCTTCTTGGAACTGTTTTCCTTTTTTGGAAGACTAAAGCCACTCACCCTCTATACTAACATAGCTCCTCTTGAGCTGAGTGTATAAATTGTGCCAAACTGCAAGCATTCTAACCTGGAGTGAATAGTAATACCTTTTTCTACTACAACATGGCTACTACAGCAGCCAAAAATTAGAAACTTAGTCTATTTAGCATTCCAATGCCAAAATAAATACAAAGTTAACCTTAACTCATTAAATTGTTTAAAAAAGCAATAGAACTGAAGTTTAAGTCCCTTAAATATAACAGGAATATTTTACATGGAACTTCATGCACTGTACACTCAAACACAGAAATACTACCATTAGGCCACAACATTAATAGACATTTCCCATTTTAAAATTTCATGCATGAGCATACAGCATCCCCATTTAGTGACATGCCAAGATAGAAATGCAATGACAAGTTACACGAAAGCCAAGAATGAAGCACAGATTTTTTTTTTAGTATGAACCACAAAACTTACCCATTCTCACCATAAATCTTTTGAAAGAGTCTGAGAAATCAGAAAATCAAAAATTTTAAAAGTTATGTTTTCCAGTTACGTTAGTTTCTAATTGTTTGTCATCTCTTATTTGAGTCAAATTGAGGATGGACCAATCTAAAAAGGTTGCCTTTTCAGCTATATCCTTATGTCCCAAGTTCTTATTCATCTTATATCTCGAGGAACTCAAATTAAGTGAAATGAAAGCTTTCTCTAAGCCAACAAATCTATAAAGAAATCTTTCCCATTGTCAGGAATTAAAAGGTTAGATTTTGGTTTTACTAATTTCATTCAGCCTAATCAGACTTGTCCATCTCAAAATTCAATAAGCTGAATATTCATTCATCAAAAAGGCCCAAAACTGCATACGCATAAAATTTAGCAGACAGTAAATAATATTCATGCATTTAAACAAAATTTACACTACACTTCTTAAATAAAAATGTTACAAGTTGGTAGTCCAAGAAACCTCAGTCAAAAACAAAAGGCAAGTTAAACGAAATTTGCAATGCCATATTTTAAGATTTATTTGTACCTCAAAAAATCACAGTCCAAAATGAGAAACACATAAAAAATAAAACTACCACCAGACTATTACAGAAATGCCTGAACATAAGAATAAATTTCTATAAATATAGTTGGAAAATATTTTTATGAGACTTCATGTTGTAGAATAGTACCACATACTTAAAACCTAAGATGTGTATGCAGACCTCAAATAGAATTAAAAGATGTGCAAATATGGAATTGCACTGTTTTATGTAATGATTAAAAGTTTCTCAAAGCAAAATAAATTTTTTGCAGGATGCTTCAACACAACAACATGACATGCAGGGTTGAGCAATGTGACTCTGCTTTTTTGCACATATAAAGTTATGCAAGGCCGTCCACTGCAAGCCAAACTCTCGCAGGAACACACTCTGACCTCTCAACCATTAGCCTCTTCTTGTGCCTGAGCCGGCTGGCCTCGCGGATGGCCTCCCACTTCTGTAAGTCAGCCTCACTGCAGGGACCAGGGGTGAAAGCAATGGGAGGCACCGTGGTGCCCAGTTTCCAAGACTGGATCTTACGCATCAACATGTCATCTTTCTTCCGCTGATAGGAAGGAACTAATATTCTGCAGCTATTACTTTTTTCTTTGGATGGACACGTTCTTTCAAGTACACAGAGAAATTTGGCTTGGAGTTCTGGAGGCAGAGTCCAGGGGTCAGGGAAAGGGACTGGCTGGTATTTATCTGGGGCCCCGGAGAGAGGCACTTCTTTTTTCTGCGCTGGAATTCGGCGGACAATCATATCATCTTTTTCTAAATCTGGCAGTACAAGTTCACCTTCTCTAGATTGCAAAATTATATCTCGCTCTACAGGATCATCTTGCTCAGAGAATCTTCTGAAGTCTTCGAAAGCTCGAAGAACACATGGATTTGCATGGAAAGCCCCAGTTTTTCTGACAAAGAAATCATCATTCTCTAAGTCAGGATCCAGAGCTGGCATGTCAAGGTCATCTTTTCCACTGCCTGGTGCATGAGAGAGATTCTTTCTGCGTGTTATGAGCCTTGGACCAGAAGTGGGATTAATTTTGATATTTGTTTCAGAAGACAAGATGTCATCAGAGTATGTTTGCAGTGCCTGAAGTAATAAGAACTGACTGAGGCAGAGAGAAGAGAAAGCAAGGGAGAATCATATTATGTTGAGAAGAAAAAGTAATTAGTAGCCAGTCACTCCATGTTATTTTAGGGTCACAGTAGGGACACTCGCAAGACAGACAACCATTAAAAGCCACCATCTGTGACTTTCCTAAGCATCATTTACAGAAACAAGACCAAAACATGGTTCCCCAGAAAGATGGGCACTACTGCAGGCAGAGGATGTGCTGGCACTTGTACCAGGTGTACCTCTCTTGCAGGCATCCTTGTGCCACGCCCCTGCACCAAACCTTCTCATTCCTTAGTCTCAGTGGCCACATTCCCTGGCTAGAGAGAAGCAATGATCTTAGAAAGCATTAACAGGCGTCTGTTACACACTTGATACCACAGATATATATACTGAGGGGGAAAAAGCTCTAAACTGTGCTTAAGCTTTATAAAAGACGCTAAGTAATGCTTTGCATTCTCCCTTCAGATTCCTTCCTCCCAATCTCTATCTAAAAGTTATTTCCAGGGCCGGCCATAGTTCAGTGGACTAATGTGCCTGTTTAAGCAGAGTGCAAAGGCTGGGGTTTAATCCCCGGCAAGCCCTGCTGGTCCCGCCCCAGGATGCACTGAGACAGTGATTGAGATGGTGTGGTGGTGCGCACCTGTAATCCCAGTGTTTGGGAGGCTGAAAACAGGGGGATCACTATGAGTTCAATCTATGCAGTGAGACCCTGTAGACCCTGTACTAAATACATAAAATTAAAAATAAATAGAAGTTATTTCCTTTCTCCACATCTCCATATGCTGCACAACTGTAAAATTTGATAATCTTTCTAAAAAGCCTTTCTAGAATGGCTTTCTAAAAGAACTACATAACCTGTCAATGAATACATGCTGTCTTGCACATTGCTGCACTAACACAGAATATCCCAGAGGCTTCTAGGCTTACATGCTCACACAATACGTTACACGTTATGCTTTTGTACCACTCTATAAAGCACATTTCCAAGGTGCAGCACAGTGAGGCTCCAGGTTAATACAGCAGCAATAGCAGGCAGATTAGGTGCCTCAGGCCAGATCCCAAGCAGGTGGGCCTGTGCAGATAGGTGCACCTGGGCTCATCTGAAGCACCACTGATGCTCCTGGCTGTATGGGTGTCCTGGGATCTGATGGCCCGTTTGGCAGCTAGTTCCAGCAAGTGTGAAGGTCTTTGGCAGTTGCTGTCTATCCTATTCTCTGCCTTCTGTATTCTATTAAAAATCGTGACGCTTCTGTCAGAGCCTGAGTCCTCATCCTCAGAATCTGAATTCCTACTGTGAAGTGACATGGAGAAAAGGAGAAGGGAAAGAGGAAGAAAAAGAATTGGAGAGGAATAAAACTACTGGAATTAATGCCAAGCTATGACTACATACAGAAGAGGGTGGTTTAAGAACCAAATTCTAAAGTTTAAACAACTTCAGTTATAGAGGATCTATAATGTTTAATGGGAAATTAGCCTTTTCCTAAGTCGAAAACGAACATAGATGCACCAAGTTAGGGTATGGAATAAACACTGGCAGAACAGAAACATGAACTGAGACACACCTGAATCCCTGAAATTCTTTATACCATGGTTTATAAGTTTCCCTTTTTATTCTTTTCCAGTTCACATCTTCTGGAGTCCAGCATTTGGGAAGAAACTGATCAAATGAATTCCCTGGGTTTGGTATGATTGGACTTAGCTTTCGCACATAAAGATCATCCTTTACAATGTTGGGTAGGCCTGTTGACTTTTCTTCTTCCTCTTCCAAATAAGAAGAGTTTGGAGATCCTCGAACTGCTGACCAGTTTTGCACAATGGTGCCCCAAGTCCTCCTCTGGTTACTGTTCAAAACATCCAACCAGGTAAGACACTGTGTGAGCTATTTGTGACACAGAACACAAAAGTCATGCATTCCGCCTCACAAAGCTTATATCTCTGTGAATGAAGCAGAAGAATGCCCATGCCCATCACCACAGCTCCTGGAACAAAGTTAAAGCATTACAGCAGCATCTTGTCTGAGTTAGCGAAGTGCACACAGCCAATTCTAATTAAATGACACTTTATTGGAAGCTGTGTTAAAAGAAAGACACATTTCAAACAGTTTGGAGTGTTATTTTCTGAATTAAATCAGCAGCAGGATAGGCATCCAGATCCAGGACAAGTACATTTCTGACCTTGTCAGTGTGTATAGCCCACTGGCTAATGTATCAGGAGAAAATATTTGCAGACAAGAGTTGGGAGAGGTGGATTTTGAGATGAAACTCTCGGGCCTCGTTTTCACTTGGAATCTACGGTTGGCTAGGTCATCCAAAATCACGTCTGGCAACTTTCGTTCATTCTCACCATCTGAATCACTTCAGAATCATACACCTCCTTATAGGAAGTTGAGCTTGAAAAGTCATACTCTACTTTGCTAATTTGATGGGAAATTAAAGGGTTTTTGTCATACCCACTAAGACCAACAAAAAACGAAAAGAAAGGAAGAAAATATGGCAGAGCTCACAATAAACACTATCAGTCATCCAGTAAGCTAAAAAGTTCCAATAACCAGAAGGCACGCATCTAAGAAAAGACCTAGCACATGTTATGCTGACATTCAAAAAGAAAACAAGTATCTTCAAGATATGTATGATTACAGCACAGGAAAGAAGCAAATATCTCATTAAATTTATTATCTCATACTTTTTAAGAGCTGATCATTTTACCCTATCTAAATATACTGTCAAATTCACAAAGCATGCAGGACTCCATAACCACATCACATCCTCATACCTTGAAAATGTCCCATCTGAGTCCGTATAGAGCGGGCTTGCCCAACTTCTTCGGTTGTTCTCATTTTTATCTGGCTTTTTCTTCCTCAAGGGTGCCGGCACATAGGAAGGCTGTCTGCTTTTATTCGGTAAAAAACGATTGAATGGTAAAGCAGACTTTGGTTCAATGGCTGAAATCCTTCGATAGGACATATCATCTTTGTTATAATCCTGCATTTTGAAAGTAAATTCCGAATCTGTGTCACTTTCACAACCTATGAAGAAGGAACAAACATCTGCTTTACTCTCCAGACTATGTTCCTCACTGAAACCCTTCAGTGTGTCTGTCTTTCCCTTGGCAACCTGGTGCTGCTACTGAGAAGTGCAGGGAATATTTTTAGAAATCTGTCATGGAGTTGCGATAAGATCCATTAGGAGGAGCTTGCTCTGCATGCTGGAGGCACTCGCAGTGCATGCCTCTGCTGCCACGTTCTAAGCAGAAAAGCCCACTCCACGGCTGAGCCTCTTCCCCAGTCTTCTCTGCCTCCACGATGCTTCATACAATTTGTTGGTGTCACACATGTAAATAAAACCTAGCAAATGAGTCGCAGACACTTAAAACCAGCCACCAGGTAACTCTAGGGAAACTTGGTAATTTAAAATAAGGGATACAGCTATCAAATTTACATGCAAGGAAAGGTAAGGACAAAGAAAGACAAGCAAAACCGCACAAGACTGCAAGAGTCTGGTAGGTCTTCTTGTGAGCCTATGAACAAGCATCCCACACCAGACACGAGGTCAGGCTGGGCGCATCTGAAGCCCAAAGCAAATCTCGAGTCTTGTGCCTATGTGACAGCACAAGAGCTTATGGTGGGAACACTAGATTTTGATTCAAAATCATTTTCTTAAAGCTCAAAAGAATATACTTCAATACACTTCAAGGTCAGATAGATATGAGTAGTAGTTACAGTACACATAAAAAAGAAAATCCATGCTTTTAAAAACATAGGAAGGAAAGAAGGGAGAAAATGACACTGCAAATTCAAACTGAGTGGTCTCATTTCTCCCCTCCTTTTCTTGCTGCCCCTTCCCAGCTGAAAGGGGAACAAGTGCTGCCTGCTCCCCGCCAGGGCTCCCCCAGAGGCCGGGTCTGCACAACACCTGACGGCTCAGGCTCTGAGCTCCACCAAGCTCCTATAGGGCCAACCAGAGTTCCTGGCAGCCCAGGCTCCTCCCTCCTTTCTGGCAGGAATCTACAGCAAGTAACAGTGAGGAGCCCACAGGAAATGGCCTCACACACCTGTGACACGGGGACAATAAGAGGGGAGTCATAACAAAACTAAACAGAGAACAGCTATGGCCAGGAGGATTAGGGGAGTCAAAAATCTTGTGCTTTTACCACCTCCTAAATAAGACTTTTCTTTTACTTCCAAAGTGATCCTAGTGAAAATGTGCATGTGAAATATTACAATCATGATGTGTTCTACATCTGAATTTTTAAAATTATAGTCCTTTTTTAGCCCAGTTCTCTGCAGTTTTTACATGCCTAAATCTCATTCTTGGTATAAATTTTCATATAAAACTAGGAAAATTTATTTTGCAATTCTTTTACACCAAAAATATTACCCTAAACTGTGGTGCTATCAACAAGGAGCTGGTGAAAAGCAGCAAAATTTTAACGAACTACTCACAGACATATTTCATAATCCCAGTATCCCTTCCTGCTCCTTCTCTCAAGGCTTTTTTTTGAGACCAGCAAGCAGAGCAACCCCAGCCTTGTGCTTCTGGTTACACACGGGAGCACCCTGCCCAAACGTCCAAGGAGAGGACCAGTGATCTGTCGCCTCTGTACAGACTGAAATCTACGACGGCCCACAAGCCTTTAATCTTTCCACTTCAATCTTTGTTGGCCAGATAAAAATTTAAACATCACATGTTATAGATTTCTCAATCTGGACAAAGTAATAGAGTGGGCTAAGAATTCTGGCCTCTGAGGTTACAACTTTAATCACTCAGACGAATTATAAACCAGACTTGGTTCCTGAAAGGCACAGTTATCACCATTCAGGCTATGAAAATGTTACACCTAAATAGCAAACAGCTAGCAAATGCAGGAGTAATTATAAAGACTAATGATCAAGTAACTAGTGACATTTTTAATACTAATATTCTAAGATTTAAAGGTTGGTTGGTTTTTTTTCCCCCCATACTGAGGATTAAAACCAGGGCCTTTGCACTGAGTATATCCTCAGATCTTTTTTTTTTTTTTCTTTTTTTTCTTTTTTTCTCTTTTTGTACCAGGGATCAAACTCGGGACCTTGTGCTTGGCAGGCAGGCACTTATTCCACTGAGCTAACTCCCCAGGTCACACAGATCTTTTTGTATTTTGAGACAGAGTCTTGCTAAATCACTATGTTGCTTAGGCCCGGCTTAAACATGGAATCCTCCCCCAGAGGGCTGAGATTATTACCAGCATGCGTCACGTACCTGGCTAAGAATTTCAGTTTTATTACCATGGTTAATTTTTGAAAAACAAAGCCATTACATATAGTTTGCTTATGTTTGAAATTTTTCATCATAAATATCTAGGGAAACAATTTAGAAACGCAAGCCACTCCCCGTGATATACAAGCCAAGTGCAATCTCTAATAATCGAGCCCAAATGCACAGAGCGTGCTTCATGTTTCATGATGATGGTAGAAGCACAAAATTATTTTAAGATTTTTTTTATTTTTGGCACCATACTAGGGAGGGCCTCGTATATGCTAGGCAGGTGCTCTAATCCCTGAGTTACACTCCCAGCATTTCAAAAATTCTAACTCTTGTTTCAATGTAGTCAATTCAGAATAGGTAGGGATTTATTCTAAAATTGCTGACACTACATGGCAGCCACAGGAGTAACAATCGTCCCTCAGTGACTGACCGTAACCTTGATATTTAAAAGAAGGCTCCTTTGTACAGCATTTGCCACGACAAATTCCTTTCAGGTTTGCTCTGTGTTGGGGGAGCTCAGGCGGACATGCTACCCAGTCTACCAAAATTTAGACGTAATTATAAAACATATTTTTGTTTCCTTCACGACTGCTTAAAATTTTGAGGAAAAAAGCAAGCAAGAAAAAAAAATTACTCAGGAATGAGAATGGCTAATTTTACAGAATCTAAGTAATACAATACAATACAAGTAGTATTCTTTTCTACATTTAGATTATCACTAATAAATCAAGTCATAGTGAACTGTCTCCTCACCATTCCTGTCTAAAAATAGAAACTGTCCTCATCATGAGAAAGAAAAAAAATTAAGAAACATCCAGTTACACTTAAATTTTTATTTTAATCTACATCTTGGTGAAATTCTTCTCTAATTTTCTTTCTTTTTTTTTTTTTTGTACTTCCTCCTGCTTTCAATTTTTTTTCTTATTATGTTAACAAACATCAATAGCCAAAAATGCAACTCACCTTCAAGTCCTCCTCTCAGTGTGCTATCGGAGCAGTAGCTGGTCAGTGACCTAGACCCCAAGGAATCTAAGCTTTCAAAGGAATCTTCCCTCTTATGGCTGCCTGGAAGGGCAGGAAATTCTCCCTGGTTGGGACACCAGATATTACTATAACCACTGCCCTGCCCACCTCTGTTCAAGCAGCCAGCGTCTTCAAGTGCCTACAGAAAACATTTTATAAAGAACAATAAGTTAGTATGCACTGCCACAAATGTGAATACCATGCTTTATTTGATAGATGAGACAATGAAATTCCCTGTTGAATATTTTTAAAAACCTGATGAAAATCAGAAAAGGTCTCCAATTATTTTCTCACCACTAATACAGTAAGATGATATTGAACATTGTTTAATAAAGTGGTATAATTTATTTAAAAAGTAAGTAATATGGAAGAGCCTAGTAAGTTAATTAAAATAATACTGCAATGCTATAATCATTGATTACTTGTAGTTCTCTAGGGAAAAAAAAACATGAAAAGAGTCAAAGAAATAAAACCATAAAGGGGATATAAATGAAGGACCAGTTTGTAGTGAAAACCAAAAATAAATAAATAAATATATATA